CACACGCTCCCATGCACTATGCGGACTTCAAAATGTTAATTTCAAGTCCATTTTATGCATAAATAGAGGCAAAGTTTCCCTTCAATGTACCTTTCAATTTTCTCTTCTCTCTTTTGTAATATTTCTCTGTATTAGCTTGGAAGTTTCAATAAAGAAAGTTTTCTGTAAGTTTTCAATTCTTGTTTAAAGTTGTTCATATATCGATCCTGCATATATATATATATATATATATATATATATATATATAGAATAAATATCATATATATAATAAAAGATTGGTATCAGAATATCAAATATAAGATCCAATAAGGATTGTTGAGTAGAAGTTAAAACATTTAAGCTTAACCCATTCATCTCAACAATTGCCTTATAATAATCATCATGAGAGGGATTACAAGAACATTGAGGGTTTTCAATCTCTGCTTCAGAAGAAGAAGAAGACTGTAATTCCATGACAACATCCCCATAATCACCTGATGATTCTGATTCAGAAGAACTAGTATTAAGTAACAATTTACTTAATTGAAGTCTTAGTTCCTCTTCGATTTGAAGGCTACTGAGTTTCTCCTTAGTTCTGCATTTGTTTGCATAGTGGCCGATACGTCCACATTTGAAACATTTAGCCTCAGCTTTGGGCTTTCCTTTACCCTTTGCTTTCGGAATATATTTCCTTTTAGGCTTAATATACTGTCTAGAATTATCCTTTTCCTTTGAATAATTCTTTCTTTTGGAATACTTCCTTTTATAAGGTTTTTCAACCTTATTTCTTTTCCTAGGTTTAGGATAAGATAAGGGAGTCTGGTAGGCAAATTGATCACAAAATTCACCTACTTCCTTTCTACCAGTTAATCTTTGTGCTTTTAACTGGGATTGTAACTTCAGATCATTACAGAGAGCTAGACCTTCCTGGATTACAATGTTGACTAATCCACCATAGGTATAGTTCCTGTAAGGGATAGAGATACCATTATTTATATCTCTAAGCTTTTTCCTGATTCTTTCAGCAAAAAAGGTGGGTAAGCCATCCACAAATTTTGCCTTCCAATGCTCATGATTTGCATCATTGAGTTGGAGAACCTTGGCCAGGAAAACATCTTTATACCACCTAAAATGAGTTAAAGATGGACATCGTAGATTCTGTAGAAGCTCACGACTCCGTTCACTATTAGCACCTTCTGGGCCAACAAAATGTTGGATAATAGTGGTAATGAGAGTGTAAACCGCATCAGGAGCAGGTCCTGTCTGTTGAGTGGCTTCATCTTTAACAATCTTGGTTGCAGAAAAGATTTCAGCTTTCTGAATGTCAGTGAGAACATTATCCCACCATCCTTTAAGGATTCCTGTAAAACCAGCAACGACAAACTTAGCGATGGTCGGGTCAGTATTGTTGTTGATTTTACAAACTTGGCTATACATCAACATTTGATGAATAACCTCGTAAATCTGATAATCAGACTTGCCATCTATGTTCCATTCATAAATGGTCTTTCCATGAAAAGATTTCTGTGTATGGAAATAATCTTCTTCATACAAGATATCTTGAGGTGTGGGTCTTGGATAGTAATATCGACTCGGAGCAGGGGCCGTATTAGAGTGGATATTCTTATCATAGACAATTCTGTTTAACTCAGGCATCTGAGGGAAATCATTTTGGAATACCTCAATATGAGGTAACACATTCTCAGAATCAGACTATATTATTAAGTCTGTTTTGTGTCATTACTCCTATATATTTAAATAGTTTAGTTTTTTCTTTTCTTTTCTTTTCTTTTTCTTTTTTGATCATTTACAAGAAACTAACACATACCCACTTTGCTCCTTCGGAGTTTAGCTCTCATTAACTAATAAAAATTGATGTTAATGATATTCTAATAAAAATAAGTTATTGTAATTATTTATTTATTTATTATGATTTTAATTATTTATAATATGTGATTATATTATGTTACAATAATTTTTTTATTTAACTTTATTTCTTATATTGATAGTATTACTGATCATATGATAATTTGTGCTCTTAGAGAGACATACATATCTCTTTTCAGTTTTCTTATAATTTATCCTATTATACATATATTTGTTTTATTTGGAAGTATCGAATTGATTCTTTTGATTTGAAATTAGAAGAGATTTAGTTCAAATTTAAACATAATGTATGCGTGCTATTGGAGAGACCTAGTGAACTACTCACCTATAAGAGGAGTTGTGTAAACGGTTCAATTCTTATTCATATAAAATAAAATTATAATAGCAAGTGTAGGAAAATATTCTTTTCAATTTAACATCAGGATCATGATCCTGCCTTACAACTGACAAAATTTAATAGACCTTATGCTGGCCTATTATTGGACTTGATGTGACTACTGCAATCAAGGATTTTTTCATTTCAGGAAGAATGCTCTCTGACATTAACAGTTCTTACATAGCCCTTGTACCTAAAAAACCAAACCCCTCCACTGTAAACGATTTCAGACCAATTTCATATTGTAACCTCCTTTATAAATGCATATCTAAGCTAATAGCCACAAAGCTAAGTTTTGTTCTTCCCTTCCTTATCTCCCCCTCACAGAATGCATTTATTAAAGACAAACAAATTTCAGACAATATTTTGATTGCACATGAACTTCTTAATGGATATCACAAATCATCCCATTCACCATGCTGTACACTCAAGATTGATTTGAAAAAAGCCTTTGATTCATTACACTGGCAGTTTATTCTTGACTCACTGCATCTTTTTGGCTTTCCCAATCAGCCTATACACTGGATTGAACAATGTATCGTAACCCCCTCTTATTCTATTTCAATGAATGGTGAACTTTTTGGGTTTTTCAAAGATAGAAGAGGCATTAGACAAGGGGATCCAATTTCACCATTGTTGTTTGTCTTGGCAATGGAAGTTCTTTCACTAGCCATTATAAAGTCCATCTCTTGAAATCCCTTATTTAAATACCATTGGAGGTGCAGTAAATTGGACATTACTCATCTTGCATTTGCAGATGACATTCTTCTTTTCTCCTATAGTAATTTCTCTTTAGTTGAGGTGCTTTTCTCAGCCTTGAACAAATTTTTATAAATTTCTGGACTGTCAATTAATTGCTTAAAGAGTTAAGTGTTCTTTGCTGGGGTGGATTCACAAACTAGGGCAAGCATTTTATCTCTCCTTCAGTTTGAGGTTGGAAGCCTGCCAATTACTTATCTTGGTTTACCCCTATCTTCTTCAGCTATTAATGCAACTGATTGCCAAACTTTGGTGAATAGAATCACAAAAAGAATTACAATGTGGACTTCAAGATTTTTATCTTATGCTGGTAGGGCAGTGTTGATTAGATCCATACTCTACTCCATCCAAGCCTATTGGACACAAGCTTTTATACTGCCACAAAAAGTGATCGACCAAATCAACCAAATAATCAGAAGCTTCTACTGGTTTAGAATTGAATTGAGGAAGGGAGGGGCAAAGGTAGCTTGGACAGCTATTTGTAGGCCTAAAATTTATGGTTAACAAATAGGGTTTCAAGCCTCAAACACATTTGGAAGTTGTGTGCTAAGAAGGACTCCTTATGGGTTGCTTGGATTTACAGATACCTCATAAAGAATAGAAGTTTTTGGACTGTCAAACCTTCTACTTTAAGCTCTGGGTTCTAGAGAAGGCTATTAAAGCTAAAAGGCATGGCAAAGGGTTTAATTAGGCACAGAGTTGGCTCAGGTCTGAATACAAGTCTTTGGATTGATTACTAGCTCCTTAATGGACCTATCTCATCTCAACTGAATCTCACTGAAGTGGAAATTCTTCAACTGGACTGCCAAGTCAAAGTTGATAGCCTAATTTCTAATTTTCAGTGGATGATCCCTCCATCTTTTCAACAAAATCCTTTTTTGCCATTCTCAATCTTTCATTTCTCAGCTCAACAGCATAGTCACACCATCACCAACAGCAAACCTGATCCAATGGTTACCAAGTGCTCAGCAAAACTACTCTCACAAGCTCACCATGGGATACTTCACTCCCCCTTATTTCTTGTCTGCATGGCACCACATTATTTGGTTTAAGCATCATATCCCAAAGCATGGTCATATAGTTTGGATGGCCATTAAGAATAGGCTCTTCACATTGGACTCAAAACCCATGAGAAATAAACATAGAACAAATACATGCTTTCTATGTTTGGCTAATTGGGAATCATTGGACCATCTCTTCTTTAAATGTAGATATAGCAGAGCCATTTGGAACTTCATTCAAAATGTTGCAGGTTTCTATATATTGCCAAAATGCTGGACTTATCTGATTGATTGGTGCTCAAAGTTCTGGAAACATAGTGACTTTACCACTCACAAGTTACTTCTGTCAGCTGCAATTTATTTCATTTGGCAGGAAAGGAACTCAAGGGCATTCAGGAACAAGTCATCCGCTCCTCACATCCTCATCAGAGCAATCAGAAATTGTGTTAAGACAAGACTTGCTCAATCAAGTTAAGAAGGAGTGAAGACTTAAGGAGAATTGGCACAATGGAGGATCTTCAACAGTTATTTCACTAAGGTTGTGAGGTTTCCCTAGGACGTCATTTTCATTTACCTTAAGGAGGTGCCCCAATCAAGCTATGTTGGAGTGAAGACTTTAAAGAATTGACACAATGGAGGATCTACATCAACTACTTCAGTAAGGTTGTGTTGTTTCTCTTTGGCAGCATATTCATTTGCTCTTTTACAGTCCAGCTACCAACTGAATGTGGATGCTTTGTTTATCGTCCTTTTATTGTCTATGGGTGCTGTCAGTGGCTCTGCTGATTCCTGGCTTTGAGTTCAAGTTCCTAAGGTTACCAAGTTGATTTTGTCTAATTGTTTTGACAGTTGGCTTTGGCTTCTTCCCTTTTTTGATTTTGATCTTGTAATAGCTCGTGTTGCTTTGTGGTCTTTGTTGTACAGTATTTTTCTCTATTTATTTATAAAAGCTCACCCATTTAACACCAAAAAAAAAAAACAAAGAGCTTCTGATCCTATTATTGTTGAAAGGGCATTGACATGAAAGCTCCATGGAAACCATCTGGCACTCTACATGGAAGCATAATTTGGGCAACTGGCTCACTATTAAAGTTCTTTGTATCAATTATATAAACCTGCAAGAAATGTTGTAGATCAATATAAATCTAGATTAACATGAAAAGTTAAAAACAACAATATTTGTTGATGATAAGAATGAATTACCTGAGATATACCAGTATCTTCATTCTGAACAAAAGAGATGATCCAACTATCGTCTTCCTCGGAACCTCCACATTTAGGGACAAACGTAGCTCCAAAGTAGGAAGTGTTCTTCTCAAATTTATGATATTCAACCTTTATGAAGTTTTCGTGTTGTCTCTTTCCCTGCATCACATGTCAAAGTGTTTAGCACAATCAAACATGCAGGAACATGGTAGAAAAAAATTAAAAATGAGCAAGAAATCTATTACCTGATAAAATCGGTGCTCTGGATCTCCCAAGTAAAGCTTGGCTAGTCCACCATACTTGGCCATGCCTAAACTATCCAATCAACAGACTATTTTAAGTCAAGCAATTCATAATTTAAATTATAAGAGTAATAGGGTTTTTCTCAAAGGTTATTGTTTCTTAATTACCTGAGGCAGAGCTTGCACTACAGTCAGCAACCTGAGTGTAACCATATTTGTTTTCAACACCCGTAAAATTTTCATTAATCATAGGCATATCCATGGAAAATTCGGTTCCGGTGAGATACTTTCCTTGACCTCTCCATTTAGCATATTTAATCTCCATTCACAACAACGACAAAAGAATAATCCGTCTTTTGTCACTCCAACTGAACTTACAGGCTTAAAACCTCTCGAAAACCACTCAAATTTGTTCAAACCAAGATCAGGTCCTGGTATGATTGATCCACGAGCTCTAAATCCCAACACTACAACCTTTTCTTCATCATAAAAACAATTTTCAAAATGTGAATTAATTATTGGTTCGAATTCTTCTATTCAAAGGTATGATGGACTGCTCAAAAAAAGATAATTTGTACTGTGTACTGTTCTTGCCATTTACCTCATCACCATCGTCATAACAGTTGAGAATGTGAAGTACACAACTTGGTTCCACCTCAAACCACTGAACTGATTCTGCATTGCCGTAACGAGGCATTACCCCAATCCTTGCGTACCCTTCCTTATCATACCTCATCAATCTGCATATTAGTGTGAACATTTCAAGCAATATATTGAAACCTTATTTTAAAGTTCTTCTAGAAAGGATTTCAAGAACATGTACTCACGGGCCTCCTTTAATGAGTCGGTTTATGTCTATAGTTAGTGTAAAATCTATGATCACATTATACCTTCCAACCATAAAACCATACTAAATAAGTTGAATTAAAATTGATGGAAATCTCCAGAGGCAAAGACACGGGATTATTAATTTACCTCTGTGTAACACCTATGTCATGGCAAAGGGTACACCTGTTGAATTTGAGATCCACTTTATGTACTAATTTCTTTCCGTCAGCTGAAAAAGAGAGAGGAAATCAAAAGACATTAGAATGTAAACAAGTGTTACAGAGTGGGTCTCTTTGATCTTGTTTGAAAATGTTTCTCTTTCACTAAAACACCATAAGAATATACCTGAAATCACTCCCAATTCAAAGTAAGGTTTCTTCGCATCAACCCCCATTAAGACCATCTCCCCAGTACCTGGAGCTTTCTGCACGTAGAATAGCAAAATCATTAAGTTGTTTGATTTCAAATCAAAGGTACAATATTATTGTATAGCTTACTGAATTAAGTACCTTCGGGTGGGCAGTGAATGGTCGATTCCAAGCTCCATTGACATCCCAATTGCCTAAAGTTTCCAGTGTAAGGATGTCTATCTCTTGAGGCAAATCATTCTCAGCAACTGCGTATAACTTCCCCGAATGCATTAAAACATTGGTGTTGCTAAAGTCTTTGTTTACTTTGACAAATCTTAGCTGAAATATTCCAGAATAAATAATAGAGTATGGAATGTCTTAAATTTCCATTTCTATGTACTTAACTTATCTTTGGTAGAATATAGCATAGCCTGAAACATATATATATATATATATTTAAAATAAATAGCAGGGTTTTTTGTTTTTTGCCAAAACTTGGCAAATGTCGTTAGTCTGTCCAAATTACAGATATTTGGCCAAATATTGTTTCTGCAGACTGCACATTATACTTGTTTAGAATCAAAGACGACTACAGGGTCAAATAAAATATATATATATATATATATATATATGCCATTGTTTAATTCGAATAAGGCTAGACATTATTGGGAGAAACTGCTCACCATATTTAGCAGATGAGCTGACAAAATAGCCAGTGCATCCCCTTCTATTGCTGGAAGAAAAGATGGTTCATTTCTTTGTCTTTCTAACTTGAATGTCTCGGTATGAACATGTTTGTTGTTATAGAAGACAGTCCAGCTTCCACTGCTATCGTTATTAAAATACAAAGCATGAAGCATTCCTTCTCCTTCCACCCAAGTGTGACTTGATCTTCCAAACATAGAAATGGTTGATTTTAGTCCTTCAAAAAGAGGGTTTGCGCCTGCAAATACAGTACAATTCACAAGTTAACATTTTAACTTGCGCTGCAAATTTATAAATAATTTATTGTCATTATTTGGAATTCATAATCAAAAGGGTGGCCTTGTTTACAGCAAAAAATTGGGCATCAACAAATCATGAGATAGAGAGCCATACTAACGGTTCGTGTTCTGTCACCATAACAACAAATTCATTTATATTTTCTAAGTGAATTGAAAAGAACTTTGTCATGATCAAATGGAAAAAAAATCCGACACTTCTTATGTAGGACAAACTTAACCGAAACTTAGAATAATTATATTCCAGCCAATTTGTTTTAAAATAGCAGGTCGGTTTAGAAATTGTATATATCAAAATCGATGTTCGCCCATGTTAATTTATTTATCATCATTTTTTTTAGTTCACCTCCTAGCAAATTCATGTATTTCATTTTTCTATCATTTTTTTATGCTTTCTTTCTGCCTCACGAACAAAGTTGCCTCCCTTTTCATCATTGTGTTCTGTAAATTCAAATAATAACATTCATTTACTGATAATTTTTTGTGATTTATAATAAAAAAATGCCTCCTTGTTTGGCACTTTTACTGCCAACAATTGGGCATCATTAAATGACGAGTTAGAGAGCAACACTAAATCCAAAAGGACTCTGTCATGATAAGATGGAACAAAAGGCCGAAAGAATTGCTTTATAGGTTACACTTATCGTAAAGTTACACTAATTACATTCCAGCCAATTGTAATTTAAATATTTAGCCCACTATATAATGCCACTAGGGGTAGGTTACAATTGCTAGATTTTGTATATATTCAATATCGATGTTAGCTCATGTTAAATTTTTTATTTTATTTTTCCATCAAATGATTAGTTACCTCCTAGTCAATTCATTATATGCCTTCACAATTGTGTTTTCATAACACTTTTCAAACAAGCAATCAAAAAGTAATAATCCAAATAGTTTGAAGATTAAAATTTACCATATCCTACTAGTTATGGAAAATAACAATTTTGCATGTTAAACTATGACGTTTAAAGGATATCATGTACCATTTCTTAAGTAAACACCCTCTGGAAAATCATCTGGAATCCTCCCTTCAATGTTGGTAACAAGAACAGCTTTTCCCAACTCTTCAACCGGAGCAAAGTTACTCTGTAAGTAGGTAGATATAATTAACAACTAATCAATCAAAATTACCTTCTCTTTGTATTTAATTTGCATTAGCATGAAAGATTAGTGCATTACAATGGTACCTGAGATGGGAGCAATGGTTGATCATTGAATTCGAACACCAAATCAGCAAAGGCATCTAACAACGTCACAGATGTGTTCTTAATGATTTCAGAAACACTGATTTGCAGAGGATCTTGCTGCAACTCTTTCATTAATGGCTGCTCATTGTAACCAAAAGTATATCAGGTATGCACTTGTAAAAAAAAATTACATTGTTTTCAGTTTAACATGGCTCTAGTTCCGGTATGTTGCTAGTTTGATAAAGCTAGCTTAATTTATTGTCATTATCAACAAAACAAAACAGAACAAACAAACAAAGAAACAAACGAGAGTGAGAGTGAGAGAGAGAGAATGTGCCACAATGAAGCTAAAATTAAGCAGATAAGATTGAAATTGAACATGAAATGAATTTGTTTTAGCAGACTCTGATAATTTAATTTAGAGAATATGGTTTTACATGTCCAAATATGGCTGTAAAGTAGGCAACTCTAATAATTAAGTTTGGACATTAGCTTATAAAAATCTGCGTACTTGCGTTAGTGAAGATTTAACTTGTTGAAACGTGAATTAAAAGCTACGCATTTTAGTGGGCTTGCATCATACCACAGAGAAAGATATATATATATATATATATATATAAAGAGAGTGAGAGATATAATAACCTTGAAAACAGAGAAGAGAGAGGTCTTGAAGTGATCAACTCTGTGTGAGATGGAAGGCCTCTGGACACAGCAATTCGCATGAAATGCACAAGTCGGAATGGCCATCTCTGTCTCTCTCTCAGAGTGAGGTCTTGAAGTGATCAACTCTGCGTGAGATGGAAGGCTTGTGGACAGAGCAATTCACTTGAAATTCACAAGTTGAAATGTCTCTCTCTCTTTATCACATGTTAGAATTAATTTAACATCAAACTTATGGATTGGGTGTGTGTGTGTGTGTGTGTGTGTGTATGTCATGTTTTTATCCTATACTATCAAAAAGCATCTTTTACTTACCCAGATGCTAATGGAATTACTTCACGAGTGGATCCTCTGCCGTAACAATTCGTGTTGTAGTTGTCCTAATCCTATAAAAAAATGTACTTTTTATAAGTTTATTACAGTAGTGGTATTGTCATTTGGAGATGCTAGTTGACTTTACTTCACAGGTGGATCCTCAGCCGTAACAATTTGTGTTGTAGTACTAATCATATATATATATATTTTTTACAAAGTTATTACAGTAGTGGTATTGTCATTTGGAGATGCTAATGGACTTTGCTTCGGGAGTAGAAATTCAACCACGTGACATCGCTTCTATAACAATAATATTTTTTTATGTACATATTGCACTACAATAATGTATTGCACTGAACAATCTATACACACCACATGACCAAGGTACAAAATCTCATCTAATATCAAACTTATGGAGTAAATTATGCAAGTCTTAGTCTTGTATTTTTCCGTTGCTATCAAATAGCATTTTTGGCTTACTTAGATGCTAAAAGCATCTCTAATGTTAAAACGTCAAATTCGGATATCCAATCTATATTTTGACAGTTTTACAGTGTCAAAATATTATATTTTAACAATTCTATTTCAATGATGAAAATAATTCTGCTCCAATAATGAAAATGCTATTTTTTAATACAATCACAATTCTTTTTCAACTACCATTCCCACCATTCATATTTGCATCAGTAATGTTAATATTAGGCACATTCCAAATTAAGTTGTAGATTAGAAGGAAACTAAAATTAAACTTAATTATAAAGAATCAAAAATCTAAAATATCTGGTAAAAAAAGGACCAAAAAAAATATATATATATATATATATATATATGTATAAATTTATATATTTGATTATATTATTATATAAAATTTTTTTATATAATTCTTTTTTCTTTTTAGGAAATTTATATATATATATATATATATATATATATATATAGGGCAAATCATTTCAGCCTCCCAAATAGCCATATATATTTTTAGGGCAAATCATTTTAGCCTCCCCAATCGCCTCTATCTCTATGCTCGTTCTCAGCTCTGAAATTGCCCCCTCTTGCTGTTTCAGTTCAGCTTCGCTGTTCGCAAGCTTCAATTGTTGGCTCTCAACTCTCAAGCTTGCCCCCCTCTCTCTCTGTGCAATTGCTAACTTGTATGTATGGATTTTGATTTAATTTTTTTTCTAAATCAACTAATCAAGCTCTGTAATTCTCTGTAATTTTTTTCTAAATTAACTAATCCATGGCAGAGGCGACCTCTACTCTCTTCCTTCTTGACATCAATGGCCGAGAAACTCTTCACCAAACCCATTGAGAAAGAGGTTCGATTTTTGTCTACTTTTTTTAATCAAGGTCTGTAATTCTTGTTTTGCAAACTAAATCCTATTTGGTGAAATTTTTTATGATTTTTTAAATATATATATATATATATATATATATATATATGCCAGATCTAAGAACCCCGCCTTAAAAATTGACAACCCTTTTAGCATTGTATTGGACAACTTTATTTCTTACTAACAATCTATATATATCTTTAATTTTTAGGTCAACAATATTTGACAAGGAATATTTTGAACAACAATACTTGCTGACTTACTAGCTGACTTAGCACAATAAAAAATTAACACATCTCTCATACAACTACACAAAAATTATATAATATAAAAATGAATCAAATGAGTTTTAGAATAAGGTCTCAAGTAAGAAATTCTCTCTCCAATCTCCATACTAGTTCTTGCTACCCAACCTCCTTTTCAAAACCCTAATCTTCATCCTCTGTTGGGATTCCCAGTCGGAAAATTTCTTGGACTTTCTCAAAGGCGGTATATCCATGATCCGACCGGTGGTGACCTCGTCGGAGATTAGGTCGCCGGTTATCTTCCCGGAGGCAGGAATGAGAAAGAAATAAATGAGTCGGCTAGAGGTGGTTGGAACCCCAATCCATAGATTGCAATCACTAGTATCAACTGAATTCATCAACAGGAAGTGAAACATAATCGCTTGAACGATGCACCTACTGCTATGGACTAGAACATCGGAGTGTGAAGGTTGGATTGGCTGTCGAGAAAGTAAGAGAGGGAATTTTTTTGCGGTGTGGAGAGAAACCTTTCTTGGGTCGGGTAAGCTGCAAAGATTAATGTGTGTGGTCCATTTTACTGGACAGACTTACCTCACTGACTGCAATTATGTGATTGAATATAAAAGTATTAAAAAAATATAAAATCACAAATGTACAAATAATTTTATTATTGAATCATATCAACAATGCTAACAAGTTGCTCTATTTTTTTAACAATGTTACATAAGGTGACAATTCGCCTATTACAGCCGTTTTCGTGTAACTCCAAGTTTAATAATCTTGCTTGGATCCTTAACTCTTAACACAATCTATTTATTAAACTCACTACACATTTAACTAATGATCTATATAAGTCATGCGTTTAATTAAATTTTTATAGAAATCAAACAGAAATATTTAAATAGTCTCTATTCCACTAGGGTAAATTATAATTTAGATAGTTCTTAACTTATTATATAACTCAAATAGAAATGTTCAACTAAAAAAATAGAAAGAAAATAGAAGAAGAAGAAGAAAAAAGAAAAAAGAAGAAAGGTATCAACACGTTTATAATACATATAGTTAAACGGGTTACACTCCTCAATTCGAACACGATACTATTAATTAAATAGATTAATAATGTCAAACCATTTACGACTCAAACTAATTAAGGTTAACTTAAACCCGCTTAACTTGTATCGTATTTGAGTCTTGTTCGCAGGTTGTCACAATTTGTCCCTCCTACTTGTATGGCTAAATGACTTCTTCTTCTTATTTTTAATCTATTTAAACAAAAATATATATATCAGATCTAAGGATAGACTTTTTTGTAATACAAATAATTCTGTAAGAAATGTGTATACCAAAAAAAATTACATTGGCAATGTTCATATTTCTTTAACAAAATTGCAACAAATTACCTTCATGGAAACTTAGAATAATAATAAAGAAAAGAAAAAAAGGAGATTATAATAATACCCAATTTTGAACAAACAAAAAGAAGTCAAAATTGAAAAGCATCAGACCTGTTTGGATGAATGGAAAATTCTTGCATAGATAAATACAAGAAGGTTGAAGTGTCAGCTTTCAGCATCACTCAATTGTGGCAAATTTCTGTCTTTTCACACTTTGTTTGGCAAAAAATAATCACAACCCTAGAGTCTATATTTTAAGTTATTCCTCTTATATCGTGTTGCAGTTAAGCATACCTCTCAGTTGATTCTAATCAATTTTTGCGATTTATTCTCATCATTTTCCATGTACATACAAACAAGGACTAAAGCCAAACAATGTTGAATTACCTCTTGGAACTGCTTTGACTAAAGCCAGGGTGCTTTCACTAAAAATTTGTCAAACTGGCCTATAATATTTTAGGCCAGTGTCTCCTTATCACATCATCATCACAATGTGCTGGAGTCCAGAAAATAAATAGACTCTGATTAATCACAGCTTCCGCGAAATGAAATAATTGATCAAAGGTCACGTGAATGAAGTAATTAAAAATTAAATTTAGAAGAAGACATAATGTATAATAAAAAAGAATAAAAAAAGAAAATTCACGTGTCGAACTCATCATATAAATAAAGGTAAGAACGATGATGATGTTGCTTCTTAACAAAATTTGATTTTATTTTTAAAGTTTTATTTACCTAAATTATATTCTATTATCTATAATCCTAACACAACACATAAATACACATAAATAGGATTAAAAAAAAACCCCACCTAAAACTTGTAATGAAATACTAACAAAATGGCATCAAAAAATACTCTGCCTATAAAGATGCTATATTTCTTTTGATCATGTATGACAAGTATGTTTATTTTAATTTTAGTATGTGCATGCAAAAGAACCACATATTAAAGTGACAATTAAATATAGCAACATAACAAAGAAAGAAGATGCTCCTTAGGAAAGTCTTTAATACCCCCATACTATTTCACTCCACTCAAGTATGAGTGAATTGTGTGATTCCAAAATTGAAATGGTCCAAACAATTCAAATTATATATATATATATATATATATATATATATATATATATATATATTTATTTTGTAAAATATTTTACATGCGAGTAATTTTTTTTCCGCTTTATTTTCTGGTGTTTGACTTGGATTCTGAAAGTATTTTTTTGTTGAAATTTTTTAAATAAAAATAAAGATATTATTATTCAAGTATCATTATTATAAATCATAAATATTATTATATTTATTCCTATCATTACATCATTTTAATTTCTATAATAAATTAATAATGACATATAAACGTTACATGTTGTAAGTGCCTAAATAATGACTACTTGAGTACTATACTTTGTGTAAGACACTCTTGAGTTATGTGAGTCTGTGAGCCTACTTTTAAAGAACCTATCTCTATCTCATTCATCTTCCTTGATTCTTGAGATATTATAATAATTGAAGAGTATTTTCATATTGAATTTGGGGCAACTTCACCAAAACATTGTCCTTATGTAAATGTGCCTATAGAAGATTACTGACGAATATGGGTTGTATTTTATAACAGTAATGGTCCGCATGCACTTATTCGTAAGGAGACACTTTAAGACTGTGACTGCGTGTCTCTCATATCCATCCCAGTTCTTTTTTACTTATTTTATTATAATTTCTGTTGATATCTTAATTTCTATTGTTGGAGATCATTTGTCTTGTATAAATTTTAGAAAAGGGGCAATTTCAGGTCCAACCATAAATGTGCACCCACCAGCAACACACGGATTTATACATCTCTCTCTCTCTATATATATATATATATTACACATGATTGGATCTTGGACTGGGCCTAATCTGTTTCTAGCCCATGATGCTGGCCCATATGAGGTCCAAGGGTTTGGATAAACGGACCAATTGCATCATCAATGTAACCATTTTGATTAGGACCAAGTGGACCAAATTTTGTGTGTCTCACACGAGTATTAGGTGACTCTGGCTATTATTTCATTGATACACTCATTCAATGAACATGCACCACTAAATTTGTTAAAAATAATTTTTAGGACAAATTATTATATGTTCCCAGCAAATTAACATTGGATAACTAAGTAATTATGTCGGAAATGTATATGCTTTTTTCAGTTTTTGTAATACCCCGATATTTTTAAAGGACTAATTAATTAGGAC